GTAATAAGATTACCACATGAAGGTTTATTTGTTTGTTTTAAATATCCATGCATAGGTACAAAAGGGGTGTTTGCTTTAGCTGTCACTAGTTTTAAAATGGTAGTTTAAAGAGAAATCAACTAACCAAAAGCATCCACCGCTAACTCTTATCGATTAGCAGGATTTTACAGTCACTCTTATAAAGCACATACGGCCCCAAAATGCGGAGCAAAATTTTGTGACAACTATGAACCTTGGATTCACGGTCCAGCACACTAACTACTGGGTTACTCATGTCTAAACGTATGAATGACATTTAATTCACGTTTTATTATCAAGATTGTATTGCTAATTATTCAACTAGTTGTAAATAACAATTATTGTATTTCTTCTATGGGTAATCAAGTGCACAGGAAATTGTTTATCTAAGATAAAATCTACTATGCCTATCAATGTTTGAGTTTAGATATGATAGTTTTATACGTTATTAATAGGTATATGGAACTGTAGAAAAGTCGTAATACTGGCGAAGTGCTTTTAAGTAAGTTTAAGAACACATTCATAACTCGTTTCTTCGTTTAATATATATATATGTTTTATGTTGTCAAGCTAGGATTTAAGTTATGTTCATTTATTAACTTTCCAGGGTGTTTAAACTTAGCCTTTGTAAGAATGTTATCAAGTGCAAAATGAACATTATATACATATATAGAAGTGTATAAAACCACCCACACTGTTATTCCATCAGAACTTAACAGTTTACAAATTTAATTATTAATTTTACTTACTAAATATCAAATGAGTTTAAACTAAAGTTTAAAAGGTCATTTTTAATGTTTGGTTGATAGATGTTTAGAACAACTGCACTAAAAACCCCCTAGGTTTGAATGTAATTTATTTATAAGAAAAATAAAAGAAAACATTGCGAAACTTGTTTTGAAGAGATAGGATTTTAAATAACATCAAAGCTCAAAAGAAACAAAGTTTGATAACTATGTAACACACAAAGAGCAATGTTTCTCATTATTTCACAAGATTTGGGCAAGATTTAAAGATTTAATGGTATATATACATGCATACATATATATATATATATATACACATATATGTTTATATGTGTATGTTTATCCAAATAAACTGAAAATTCAATTTCCATGAACTTTCAGTTCCTACTGCCATACACATGTCAGGTTCTGTTATGCGTTACCAAGGCAACAAGACTGGTAACTACGCCCTGCAGTGAATTAGGAAGTAGCTGGCCGGCTAATATCGCACTTTTACACAATTAAAGCAATTTATTTCTTACCAGCAAACTTCAATTGTTTTTGCTCACTCTAGATCAGTATTCCGCTGGCGTTTCGTTTGCTTTCGTCTTCGATCATAATGTGAGTTTCTCCCTTCCGTGATTAAAATCTTAATTTGATTAGGCGGCCAACAAATTTGCTTGTCTTTCGAAAGGCGCCAGAAAGGTCCGTAAATCTCTAATGACTAAAACTCAGTATTAAATTGCATACACTGTAATGCTATATTTAAACGTCCTAGAAAGTTTTAAATGAACATAACTTAAATACTAATTTGACAACATAAACATGTATATATATATGTATTATATGAAGAAACAAGTTAAGAAGGTATTCTTAAACTTATTTAAAAGCACTTCGCCAGAATCACAACTTTTTTCTCAGCTCCATAACCTATTAATAACATATAAAAAATATCATATCTAAACTTAAACATTGATAGATATAGTTGATTTTATCTTAGATCAACATTAAAAATAATCTCTGGATACAGACCACAATTTCCTGTGCACTTAATTTACGTTTTATTACCAAGATTGTATTGTTAACTATTCAAATAATTGTAAATAACAATTATTGTATTTCTCTTTGTTTGTTTGTTTTTGTAAATAAGCACAAAGCTACACAAAGTGCTATCTGTGCTCTGCCCACAAAGGGTATCGAAACCCGGATTCTTGCGTTGTAAGGCGGCAGACATACCGCTGCGCCACTGGGGGGCTATTGTATTTCTAAAGGAATGTATTTCCATTAAGAAATGTTTCGCCATGGGTAATTAAGTATCATCCATACGTTTAGACATGAGTAACCTAGTAGTTAATGTGCTGGACCGTGAATCCAAGGTTCATAGTTGTTACAAAATTTGGCTCCGCATTTTGGGGCCGTATGTGCTTTATAAGAGTGAGCTTTAGCTGTCACTAGTTTTAAACTGGTAGTTTAAAGAGAAAGCAACTAATCAAAAGAATCCACTGCTAACTCTTATCGAGTAGCAAGATTTTACACATCTCAAATAATGCTCTTTCATGTGAATGTATTCATTTGAATTTAATTGATCTCTTACAACTGTGTACAACTTCAAAAAAATTACGTAATAAGATTACCACATGAAGGTTTATTTGTTTGTTTTAAATATCCATGCATAGGTACAAAAGGGGTGTTTATCTTGATAATTGTTTATTCCATGGAAGAAGAACGTGAGTTTAAGAAAACGAATGAATAAAAGAAAGTAAAGTAGAATTAAAAATTCGCATGTGATATTAATATTGCATCATGATATCAATTAAATTGATACACCTTATAACATTAGTCTCATTTTTATTTAGAGTAATAAA